CCGGGCGGTGGTGGCGCACGCCTTTAATCCCAGCACTCGGGAGGCAGAGCCAGGCGGATCTCTGTGAGTTCGAGGCCAGCCTGGGCTACCAAGTGAGTTCCAGGAGAGGCGCAAAGCTACACAGAGAAACCCTGTCTCGAAAAACCAAAAAAAAAAAAAAAAAAAAAAAAAGTCAGTCTTATAGATCATCCTTAAGCCACATAACATTTTAATTGTGCCTTGTATTTTTGCTTAATAAACTGTCTTTTTCATTCTAACTTCTGAAAGTCTTTTGTGCAGCAGCACCTGAGGGAGATCCCTGTTGGTGAGGTTCCTCCAGCTTCATAGCTAGCAAAATCCATCTTTGTTTCTGGCATAGTGCCCTCACAATAACTTGTTAGGAATGCAAATTCCTGAGGCTGGAGAGACTGGCTCCAGGGGTATAGGACAACTCTGGCCTCCCAGGGTCCTGCACTCATGTGCATAGACAGACATATATATAATTTAAACAATTTAAATGCAGGTGGAGTGGAGAGATGGCTTAGCTGTTTGCTGCAGTTTGCTACTCTTGCAGAGGAGCAAGGTTCTATTCCCAGTACCCACAAGGCAGTTCACAACTTGTAACCTCAGCTCCAAGGAACCTGATACCCTCTTCTAGCCTCTTCAGACATAAGGCACTCTCATGGTACCTATACAAGCAGCTGAAATACTCATACACATAAAATAAAAACAAATCTTTATTTAAAAAAAATAGAGGAACTTTGAAGAACTTATTTGTTGACACAAATTGTATATATTTATTGTGTATAGTATGTTTTGAAATACACATTGTGGAATGGCTAAAATGAGCTTATCTAACATGAGAGATATAGACTTAATCAACCGGAAACTCTAAGGATAGCCTGAGAAAGCTGTTTGTTCTGGATGGTGGGGATGGAAATCAGGTCCCTAGCTCTGTGGCTGACCTTTGCTCCCAACTGCCAGCCAGGCAACCTGTTTCAGCCAGCCTTCCAGACAGTCCTGAGGTGATAAAGTCAGGACAGTGCAGTGTGGGGCTTTCTAAAGATACTTCTTAGGACTCTGGCTTGAGGAGACTTTCCTGCCAGAGGCTGGACCATAGCTGTAGTTAAGAAACTAGGTTTACTGCTCCTCACAGTCAGGGAGCAGGTTTGGGAGGGACATTGGTACAGCTCAGGGAGATGGTGTCTGAAGCTCTGTTGTGGGATTTGGACACTTGGTGGAAGGAAGAAGGAGAAGAGGCTTACTCTGGACTTCGTGCTCTCGGAAGCAGAGACACTGCAGTGGCTAATTTACCGATGAAGATCTTTTGTAAGATAGGCACACTTGACCTGGAGAGATGGCTCAGAGGTTAAGAGCACTGACTGCTCTTCCAAAGGTCCTGAGTTCAATTCCCAGCAACCACATGGTTGCTCACAACTATTCATTAATGAGATCTGATGCCCTCTTCAGGCACACAGGCAAACATGCAGATAACCCTATACATAATAATTCATACACATATAATAAATAATAAATCTTTTTAAAAAAAAAAGATAGGCACACTTGGACCACGAGAAGGCTGTCCTGCCAAAGCAGCAGAAGGATCGTAGCTTAGCAGGGAGGAGACTGTTTGGTGTTTCATTGTTTTCATTTCTGTTTTGACAAAACTATCAAGTGGTCCTGTTGTGTTTCACTTTACCATGGTCTCAGTGACCTTGTCTAGTGTTAGTATTCTGTGGGATGTCTCTGTCCAATAGAAGAATGAACTGATCTAACTTGAATCCACAGGGCAAATTCTGCCAGTACTGAGCTTAGCTATATGATAAGCATCTCTGCGTGTGTATGTAACAAGCTGCATAGATATCATATATGGCAGGGATTGCTGTTTTCTTTCTCAGGCCATTACTAAGAAAGAGAAGCCGCTGGAAGAAGGTTATGAAGAAAAGAGTGATGTAATCTGATTGAGCTTTTTTGTTTTTTAAGATTTATTTATTTGGGACTGAAGAGATGGCTAAGTGGTTAAGAGCACTGTCTGTTCTTCCAAAGGACCTGGGTTCAATTCCCAGCACCCACATGGTGGCTCACAACAGTCTGTTAACTCCAGTTTCAGGGGGACCCAATGCTGTCTTCTGGCCTCTGTGGGCACCAGGAATGAATGAAAGTAGTGTACAGACATACACGCAGGCAAAACACCCATACTGATACAAATAAAATAGAGAAAGGATTTATTCATTTTTATGTGTGTATATGTGGCTGTGTGCGTTTATATTCCCCATGTATGTATAAGTGTCCTTGGAAGGCAGAGGGCATCAAATCTCCTGGACCTGGAGTTACAAGCGGGTGTGAACCATTTGATATGAATGTTAGGAATCTAACCCCAGTCTTCTGGAAGGGCAGCCAGTGCTCTTAACTACTGAGCCGTATCTCCAGCCCCAGTAATCTGACATACTTTTGATCCCATAACTCTACCTTTTTTAATATAATATTTTATTTAAAATTTTTTTCCTTCCCTTTACATACCAACCTCTGTTTCCCCTCCCTCCTCTTCTCCTGTCCCCCCTCCTCCACCTACTCACATCCTACCCCCATCCCCTTCTCATAGAAGGTGAGGCCTCCCTTGGGTAGTCAACACAGGCTGTCATACCATGTTGGGACTGGTCCTAGCCACTCCCTGCTGCATCAAGGCTGAGTAAGACATTGCACCATGGGGAATAGGGTTTAAAAAGCCAGTTTGTGTACCTGGGATAAGTTCTGGTACCCTTGCCAGGGGACCCACAAACAAACACATCAAGCCACAAAACTTTCACCCACATTCAGAGGGCCTAGTTCAATCCCATGCAGGCTCCCCAGCTGTCAGTCCAGAGTCTGTGAGCTCCCATTAGCTTGGGTCAGCTATTTCTGTGGTTTTTCCCATCATGCTTCTGATCTCCCTTGCTCTTACAATCCTTTCTCCCTCTCTTCAACTGAACTCCAGGATCTTGGCCAAGTGCTTGGCTATTGGTCTCTGCATCTGCTTCCATCAGTCACTGGATGTAGGTTCTATTATGACTATTAGGATAGTCACTAATCTGAGTACAAGGGAAGGCTAGTTCAAGCACCCTCTCCACCATTGCTGTGAGTCTTAGTTGGGGACAATCTTGTGAGTTCCTGGGGTTTTCCCTAGCTGCAGATTTCTCCCCAACCCCTTAATGGTACGCTCTGTCAAGATATCTCTTTCATTGCTCTCCCTCCCCATCTCTCCCCCATGTCCCCATATCTCATCCCCTCCCCTCCTCTCCCCTTTCCTCTCCTTTCCCCTCCCCTTCCCTTTATTCAGTTTACCTAGGAGATCTTAACCCTTTCCTGGGGCGATCCATGTGTGTCCCTCTTAGTGTCCTCCTCTTTACCTAGTTTCTCTGGGGCCATAACCCCCCTTTCAAGTCTATCTTACAAAAAAAATCTATTTTACAAGCTGGATATAGTGGCACCCACTTTTAATCCCTACACTCAGGAGGTAGAGGCAGGCGGATGGATGTCTGTGAGTTCTAGGTGAGCCACAGATACATAGTGAGACCCTGTTTTGGGGGCAGAGGAGCCCGTCTTACAGAAATAAAAGTACTCAAGATTGGAGGTTGGGGAGAGAGTCCAGTCAGTTATGTGATTGCTATACAAGCATTAAGGACCTGACTTCATTCCCTAGAACCCACTTAAAACAGCCATGCTTGGTGACCTCATCCTGTAATGCTAGTGCTGGGAAGGTGAAGACAGATGGGTCCTTGGAGCTTTGTTAACCAGCTAGTCTAGACTAATCAGCAAGTTCTGGGAACTCAGTGAGAGACTCTGTCTCAAAAATAAGAAGGTGGGAGGGCTGGATAGAAGGCCCAGTGGTTAAGAGCACTGACTACTCTTCCAGAGAAGAGGACCAGGGTTCAATTCCCAGCACCCACATGGTAGCTAACAACTGTCTGTAATTCCAAGATCTGACACCCTCACATAGACATACATGCAAGGAAAGCACCAATGTAAATAAAAACAAATAAATAAAGTTTCTGAATCTATTTTTAAAAAAAAAACACAAGAAGATAGATTTCTAGCACTCACATGGTATCTCACAACAATCTATAACTCCAGTTCCATGGATCCAATGCCCTTAACTGGCCTCCACAGCACTTCATGCAAGTGGTACATAGGCATACACACAGTCAAAACACCCATATCAATAAAATAAAGAAAACATAAAAATTATCTGGAGAAATTTGAAAGGTATAATAATAATGGTGGTAGCGCACACCTTTAATCCCAGCACTCAGGGGTCAGAGGCAGGTGGAACTCTATGAGTTCCAGACCAGCCTGGTCTACAGAGTGAGTTCCAAGACAGTCAAGGCTACAAAGAGAAACCCCGTCTCAAAAAACAACAGCAAAAATAGTTCAATTCCTAGCACCAACATGGTGGTCACAACTGTCTGTAACTGCAGTTATAGGAGCCCCAATGCCTTCTGCTAGCCTTTGTAGACATCAGGCACTCAAGTGGTGTACAGACAGACCTGCAGGCAAAACACCCATGCACGTTAAATAGAACAAAATATAAAAGTTAAAAAAGAAAACACAAAAATGTACAAGTGGTCTCCAGAACCCAGCAACTGAGGCAGAGTTCACAATACTCCTTAGAGGTGGTCAGAAACATTTCCATTTTGATGGTGGTGGTACAAGACTGATGATATATTTTCCGAAACTCAGCAGCAGTTTTTTTTCCCCTTCACTAAAAATGAGTAAGTTTTATCATATGTAGATTATACTTCAGTAAACTTATCATTAAAAAAAGAAGAGAAAAGAAAAGATCCAGGTGGTGGTGGCTCACGCCTTTAATCCCAGTACTCAGGAGGAAAAGGCAGGCAGATCTTTGAGTCCAAGGCCAGCCTGGTCTGCAGAGTGAGTTCCAGGACAGCCAGGGCCACACAGTCTTGAAAAAACAAAACAAAACAAAAACAAAAACAAGACAAAAGAAGAAGGAGGAGGAGGGGGGGGGGAGTTAGACATGGTAATGCATGCCTTTAATCCCAGAACTCTGAAGGCAGAGGCAGATGGATCTCTATGAGTTTCAGGGCAGTCAGGGCTACACAGAACTTGTCTAAAAGAGTGTAGGTTTTGTTGTTTATTTTGAGACAGGGTCTTGCTATACAGCTCTGACTGGAAGGGAATTTACTAAGTAGCCATGCTGGTCTTAGACTTCAGCGGTCATCCTGCCTTAACCTCCCTAAAACTGGGATTCCATGGCATCACACATGGTTTTGTAAGATTCATTTGAATGACTTGGGTGTATTGTTTCAGGGAAAACAAGTTTCCCAGTCATATGTGAAGTATGATCACCTTTAGCAAAACAATTTAGGGACAGTACCTTCTGTGTCTTTGGAGTTGCATGCATGTAGAACTATGGTAGAGTGTGTACGTGGAGGTCAGACATAACAAAATGTGTTGCTATACTTGCCAAAAATGAGATCTTTGATGATGTCTGAGTGAGCACCTAAATTCTGAACTAGGGGCTAGATCAGAATGAAACACGTGGGAAAAGGTGTAGATTGTAAAGGTGGGGTTTGGGTGTAGACCACTCATCTAGGAAGTTTGATCATAAAAGGAGATTTGCCACAGGACAGTTGGGAAGAAAACCATTGTGCCAACTGGAGGCTTTTTTTGGGAAAAGGCCAGGGATTCTTTTGATAACCTAGAAAAGAGGACCAGTGGAGAACTGACCATGGGTGTTGAAGAATATAAGTACCAAGCGATTTTGAGGAAGTATCCCTCCTCTTAAAGGAACCCTGTCTTAAAGATAGGAGAGGTCCTGTAGGGATAAAAATAGAGGTAGATGGAGGAAATGGATTAGGGGTTCAAGGACAGTGTTGGCTATATAGCAAGTTTGAGGCCAGCCCGGAATTCATGAGACCCTGTCTCAAAATAAAGTAAAATAAAATAAAACAAAATAGATGTATCATTTTCCTAGACCTCAGTTTGTTTCATTGGCAGCTGTCAACAGTGTTTCAGACCTGTTCTCACATCAATAGTGTGCCCTGGTGCCCCCTGGTGTAAGTCCTGTGGGCTTTCTGAGCTTTGATTTTCTCCCTAGTGAAATGGGGTTATAGTGATCGTACCTACCTCATGGTAGTGCTGTGCAGTAAGGTACACGAACTTACAGTGCTGAGGTACTGTCAGGGGAAGTATCTATGGCACGTTGAATCCAAGTCACATGATCAGCGATGTCACAATGCCTTCCCAGACTCCGACTTCTTCATTAGAGAGTCTCGGATCCTTTAGAACAGAGGAATGGAACTAACATTTGACACGTCTATCAACTGGAAGGTTTCATGAGTTCGCTCCTTCGCCAAGATCTCTCACTGTGTGATTGTAGCTCAGAAATTATTTTTCTTTTGGTGATGATCGTGCTGGGCTGGATGCTTTTTGTTGGGCTCGCTTTCTACATGGGTACATTTCCAGAGGCGATGGTAAGCACCAGCCTTGCATCCCTGCTATATCTGGCTTGGTCTCATACTCCCATCTGGGGTTTCTGACCAAGGAGGAAAGATAGCTGAGGGTTTTTAACAACAGAAAGTCAGCATGTGACAGAAATGAAGCCAGTATCTTCTCATCCCATTTGGGGTATCCTTCTTTGGAGAGTTTAATAACCCCTCCGCCTGCTTGGATAATGTCACTTGTATCCTAGCTTTATGGCATTTTTATAGGTCTTCTTCTTCTTCTTCTTCTTCTTCTTCTTCTTCTTCTTCTTCTTCTTCTTCTTCTTCTTCTTCTTCTTCTTCTTCTTCTTAACAGCTTTTTACAGTTCTGTTGGTCACAGTGACTAACTTCAGAGTTTCAAGCCAAGTAGATGAGGAGGAGTTTCTGTTAGGGACATTGGGATGGGGGCATTCTTTGAGCATTCCCTCATGGGGTCAATGAGTGGGGCCATGTCTACCTCTAATTTTCTTTCTGACTCAGCCTCCAACTCTAAAGTGGAAAGAGAGGTTGCCTGTTTGGGAGAACAAGACACGACGAAGGAGCCAAGCCTTGGAGGAGGAGCTGCTGCTGTGAGTGAGTGGTCAGTCTGTCGGGCTGGGTCCCTCGGTTCATAGAATGCTCTAACACCCTGCAGGCTCCAGGATGCTTTATCCTTCGGGAAACAGGCAAACTGTGGAGGGGAACGGCTTGAGACTTGTGTAAAAGGAGAAGACTCAGGGGTTCTGCTGGGAAAGCAGGTGGAGAACCAGCTGCCTGTCAATAACCATGCCTCACAGGGTTCCTTCTGAACCAATCCCATGTATTAGTCCATTCTTTCTCAAACACTATTCTATATCAGCATATATTAATTATATACAACATTTTATCATACACACATGTAAGTTACATGTGTGGAGCAGACTTTGACCATAGTACCCCCTCCTCTTTGCTTTTGTTTTCCTCCCTCATCTCCCTTCTCTTCCTAAATGGATCCTTTTCTTTGTCTCTTCCCTTTTTGAGACAAGGACTCACTATGTACCCCTAGCTGCCCTGGAGCCCACTATGTAGAGCAGGCTGGCCTCAAACTCGAACACGGAGATCCACCTGCCTCTGTCTCCTGAGTGTTGGGGTTACAGTCACGTGCCACCCATACGTGGCTCAGACTGAAATGACTAAGGCAATAACATCTTGTCACAACTGTGCTTGCTTAGACACTTCTCAGCTTTCTATCCCATGACAGCCATAACAGCCGTATCTGGCAACACTTTTGTCTGTGACCCTGACCATGGTCCAGACAGGCTAACTAGAGTAATTAACGTTTGTACAAGCTAAAACATAAAACTGAAATAACGGAAAGGAAGTGTAAATCAAAGATAATGTCATGTGGTATCTTGAAAACATGCTGCGTTTTGCAAGAGAACAGATGGTACGAGGCCACCCCAAATCCTTCACTGATGTGACCCCCCCCTCCACTGACGTAATTGTGGCTTTTGTCTTTAAAAATGCTGTACTCCTGAGCTTGGGCACTAAGAGACATTTTGAAGGCATAAGCCTACTCATGGTAGGGCCATTAATAAGACTCATATGCTTTTTTTTTTAAATGTTTATTTATTTATGTATGTATATAGCATGTATGACTGCAGGCCAGAAGAGGGCACCAGATCTCATCATAGATCGTTGTGAGCTACCATGTGGTTGCTGGGAAGGAATTGAACTCAAGACCTCTGGAAGAGCAGTCAATGCTCTTAACCTCTGAGCCATCTCTCCTGCCCAACTCATATGCTTTTAATTGGCTTAATGAGCATGGTTGTCCATAACTATCTTGCATGGATCATTTCAAGATGAGTACTTTTAATGCCCCTTCTAGAGAATTGTGAAACTAGAGTTAACATAAATTTGAAATCAAGACCTAACTTTGCAAATTACTGCGTGAACTTGAGATGTTTAAATCCTCTGAACGTCAGTTTCTTCATTGGTACAATGGGAAATATTTAGGCTTTTTACTATTTTTGTGAATATCACATTTGAGTGTGTAATGCAAAGCCTGAAAATTAGTAAACTACAAATTTGACTAAGTGAAATGAGAAGCTATCAGTAAGCATTTATTGGTGACAGCGGCCTCGGGTACACACACCACCACATAACCAGCTCATTGTTGTGTGTGTGTGTGTGTGTGTGTGTGTGTGTGTGTGTGTGTGTGTGTGTGTGTGTGTGTGTGTTGGGGGGGGGCGGTGCAAGCCAGACCTGTGAACATCTCCCACTGGAAACAGAGGGTGACACTCTTTCAGCAAACCTCTGCTGGGCTTCCATCAATCCACCCATTTCATCCAGATCTGCTTTTCAGAGCAGTTGCCATTGTTAAAGCAAGTTTACTCTTGGTAGTCTTTTACTTTTTTTTTTTCTTTTTTGTGGTTTTTCAAGACAGAGTGTCTCTGTGTAACCCCAGCTATCCTGGAACTCACTTTGGAGACTTAGCTGGCCTTGAACTCACAGAGACCTGTCTGCCTCTGCCTCCCACGTGCTGGGATTGAAGGCTTCCATCCCCCCCCACCCCCCACCCCCGGCTTCTCTTGGTAGTCTTAATTTGCTGACTCAAGAGCAGGAGGATGGTGGGGGGGGGGGACTGCTCCAGAAGGCAGGGGATGGTAGCCCCAGCCCCAGGTATAGTAAGAGCAGGAAACAATAGCTGGCTTCTCCCCCAGCCTCACTGGTTCAAAGCCACCAGATTGTGTGGGTGTGATAGAAGTGACATTTGTCTAGCCAAGCCACTGCCACAGAGTGTGACTCTGAGCCACTGAAATTATTTTGTGCTTGTCTCCCTCGCTGTGAAAGAGCCCCATAAGCAGCCGACATCTTCATTCTGTTCCTTTCCCAGGGAGGTACTAGGAGGTTTAGCCCACTCGAGGGCTGGATTGCTGTTTTACAAAATGCAAAACTTATTTGCCTAACAATAGCCTAAAGCTGTTGTCCACCTAGTTTGTTAATTCCCCCAATAAATCCAGGTGGTTTTGATGTGTTATTCACAACAACCTTTTCCTGCCTTTATCAGTTTAAGCCAATACGTATCTTATCATGTAATGGCTTACTAAGGTTCTAAGCAGAGGTGTGAGAGTAGCGGCCTTTTGAGGTTTCTTTCATCCAAACATACCTATGTCCCAGCCAACCCATTGCTGCCCTCACCCTTGAGGCCCTGGTGTCACAGGAACTGATGTCATAATCGGTGTCTGAGCTTTGCCTGCCAAAATGGCCATTTTAGTTTAGACTAGACCACAAAGTTCACCAGTCAGGAACTGCCATGCTGGGCCACCCACCATCTGGTCTGGAATGAAGCCAGACAGATTCCCAGGACTCTGCAAATAGAACCAGGCCTTCCAATAACCACTCCCTACCATCACCAGCCAAGAAGGCCCACGATGATCGTTGTCTTATGGATGGTTCTCATTGCAGGAACGATGTGGAAGGGATATAAATATCCCCCAGGAGGGGTAAGTGTACTTTTGACTTCTTTACTGCCAAAGAGTCCCTGACATTAACACAGCAAGCATGAAAATCTATCTAACCCTAGTAACTTTAGAAACAGATTCTCTTCAGTATTTGAGAAAAAGATCCCATAACTTACCTGCTTCAACTGTTAGCTACTCTACTTAGAACTGGGAGCTTTCCGGGTTCCTTTCATGTACATTTAAAGAGCCTAGGATGATCTGGAGCTAGCAAGGCAACCAAGATTGCCTTGGTCCTTCCGCCTCCACCTCCTGACTGCTGAGATTACATGGTGTGGGGATCAGACCCAAGGCCTCCTGCAGCTACCATGTGGGGGTACCACACCCAGGCTTCTCATGTGCTTTCTTACACATATGTTATTTTGTAAAGACCGGAGGTTAAGAGTATTTGTGGCCCAGGGTCAAAGTGAATCTCCGTAATGCTGACAAGACATTCAAAAATGTTGAGCCTTCAATATCATTTCCTACATCAGCCCACTTCTGAAAACCAACCCAAAGTGGGGTTCTGGGGGCAGACATCTCTGCACTGTCAGTTCCCACAGTGCTGAACACTTCTGGTGGAGAGCATCAGAGCTTTGGGTAACAGGATCAGCCTCCTCCTCCAGTCCTTGGCAACCGCCTCAACCCTATACCCTAGTGACACTAGAGCCTCCTGAAACATGCTTTTTTTTTTTTTCCCTTGCCAGACCCCTTTGGAAGTAAACAAAGATGACCCTGGTGAAGTCATGCAGCTATGAAGATCACCCAACTGCACAGTTCCTGTTGTAGGTTTCACATAAAGTAATCGCACATTATTTTGTCATATTGTGTCGTTACCACACTTTTTAAGATGAACAGACAGCCGGGCGGTGGTGGCGCATGCCTTTAATCCCAGCACTAGGGAGGCAGAGCCAGGCGGATCTCTGTGAGTTCGAGGCCAGCCTGGGCTACCAAGTGAGTCCCAGGAAAGGCGCAAAGCTACACAGAGAAACCCTGTCTCAAAAAACCAAAAAAAAAAAAAGATGAACAGACAAAGACAATATTCTCCTAACAGAGACAGAGGGTGAGCTGATAGGTGGGAGAGAGTGGGTGAAGACCAGGTCCTATTCATTGAAGCCTGTAAGGCTGAAACACCTCGTTTAAATTGTCCCCTGTTGGGTAATGATAAGTAATGATTTTAGACCCACTTCTTTTTTGGTTTTTCGAGACAGGGTTTCTCCGTGTAGTTTTGGTGCCTGTCCTGGATCTCGCTCTGTAGACCAGGCTGGCCTCGAACTCACAGAGATCTGCCTGGCTCTACCTCCCAAGTGCTGGGATTAAAGGCATGCGCCACCACCGCCCGGCTTAGACCCACTTCTTATATATTACATCCATAATCCAGAGTCCAAAAGTAAAAATTACCCCACAGGGGGCTTAATAGAGGAGAGATGCTAAAGTATTTTAATCCTCACCCAAACCTGCTGAAGATGGGTATTGGCTTCATTTTATAAAGTGACCAAAGAGAAGCTAAGAGGCTCGGGTGTCTTGCCAGCACAGACCTGGACACAGTAGAGATGCAGATGCAGGCTTTCTCCAGGAACACCTTATGTGCTAAGGCAATGGTCAAACAAGTACAGTGTTGCTCCCGAAGTATCTCCCTCACCTGAAAGGCAAAGAAGTTGTCCAATGATCCTTTTAAAAGATATATTTTTACTATTTTAATTATAGGTATATGTGTGGGTCTGCACTGGAGTGCAAGTGCGCTTAGAGGCCAGAGGCCTCTGATTCCCCTGGTGTTTGTTACAGTTGGTTGTGAGCTGCCCAATGTGGGTGCAGGGAATGGACACAGACCCTCTGCAAGAGCTCTTGGGTAGTTTGTACATTAGCCTGACCCCAATGATCATTTTTAAAACATTTGTAGAAATAAAACCTAACTTCAGCTCTCAATATGATGCAGTGAATTTGAGTCCAGGATTGGGAGCCTAAGCATAAGATAAGCCATTAATAAATCAGGAGTCTGAGCTCTGGGATCTTAAACCCTCTAAAAATGAGAGAAGTGAGGTGGTGGTGGTGGTGGGGAGGCGGGGAAGAGTATTTTGATGACTGATGGTTCCACTGTTCAAGAGAATAGACACGTCCAGCAAAGCAGACCTGTAGTTTACACAGAAAACACTGGTTTTTGGTATTCTTACCAAAGAGGTAAGAGGTTCTGCACCAAGAGTTATGTACGCTATGTTTGCATGCTCACCTGAGAACAAAGGTCAATGTCTGGTGTCTTCTAACATTCTCCACCTTATTTTTAAGACAGTCTCCCACTGAACCTGGAATTTGCCATTTGATGAGACTGGCTGGCCAGCGAGCCATGGGAATCCACTCATCTCTGCACTGCCAAGTGCTGGAGTTACCGATATATATCACCATGCCTCCCTTTTATGTGGGAGCTGCAACTCTGAACTCACTCATTTGTGTGGCAAGCACTTTACACAGGGATTCATTTCCCTAGCCCCTAAGACTACACTTCCTATGGAGAGGAAAATGAATTCAAAGTCCACAAATACAATTCTTAGTAATTTAGGACTCTAGACACTATTAGTACTTCTTGTACTTCTCACATGACCTAGACTCAGCATGTTGTAGTGGATCAAGTTATCTATATTCTCTGTATGCATGGGTGTGTCCACTAGCCTCATGTACATTCCTAAGGGTTCATCTTTTCAATATCACCCATCCATCTGTCCATGTATGTCTCTGTGAGTGTATGTACCCAGGGAGGCAAGAAGGCATCAGGTTTCCTTTTCTATCACTCTGCCTATTCCTTCCAGCAAAGTCTCTTTCTGAACTGGAAGCTTTTGTTTTCTAGGCTAGGCTGGAAGCTAGCAAGCCCCAGAAATCCTGTCTCTGCCACTGTCTTTTGGAGCTGGGCTTACCAGTGGGTGTGGGGTGCTTTTTGTTTTGTGTGTGTGTTACATGTTACTCTAACCATTGAACCATTTCTCCAGCTCAAGCTCGTTTGTTATAGGTGATTTGAACCTGATAATTCTGATAAGAATTACATACCAGTTCTGCTGTTTTTCTTTCAATTCAATAAACCTTCAAAACCCCGAGCCAAAGCTAGATTTCATTGCTCTGACCACTTTCAGTTACTATTTAAAATTTATTTTGTTTTGAGTGTTTTGCCTGCATGCCTGGTACCAGCGGAGATCAAGAGAGGGTGTCAGATGCCCTGGAACTTGCATTATGGTTGGTTGTGAGCCACCATGTGGGTGCTGGGACTTGGACCTGAGTCCTTTGCAAGAGCAACAAGTGCTCTTAATCACTGAGCTAACGCGCCAGCCCCCACCATCAGTTGTTTTAACTTGATGTCTGAGAACACAATGGCACTGTAGCTGGTGGTGGAAGAGAAATCAGTGGTAGCTTTAACAGTCACAAGTATATAAGGGACAAGCCTGACTTCTGAACCTAACAAGTCTACAGAGGTTTCTAGCTAGCACAGTGTTCCAGGTGATAAGGAGTAGCTTCAAGTTTTGATCAATAAATGAAAACCAGAAAAAATATCAATAAAATATTTTAATGCCTACAATTTCTTATATACATAAATTGCAAAACATTCACCTGTATATGCAAAAGTATATTCTTCTGCAGGTCAACAGCACCAGAAAACAAGCTAAGCTATGTCAAAGTTTTCTTCTTTTACATTTGATTTGTCCATTATGTAAAAGACATCATGGATTTAATAACTTCAAAGAAATCTATATTCCACTCTTAATCATACACTAAACACCTGAATATGTATTTCATCACATCCACTCACAAAATAAATAGTCTAGTCAGCACACTGAAAATAAAACAACCAGTCTCTCTCCATATATTTATTCTCTTTCCAAAAATGTTTTGGTCTCCTGCTATATCTCAGAAATGTACTACTAGCTGCTTTTAAGTTATAAAATACAAAATAATTTATTTCTTGGAGAAAATCTTGGGGGTTACCATTACAAAAATGAAATTCCGAGTTCCCTTAGACTTTCTGTTAACAGTCTTTGAACTTTCTCATGGCTCACACAGGGCTGCCTGTGACATGTGGTACCCTGCCTCTAAATGGACATGACTGCATCCATCGCATAGAGAAAGTACAAAGACCAGTTCTGAAGAAGCCTTAAAAGAAAGTGCCCTTTGCTTTAGCAAGTGGGACTGTGCAATCAGAGCCACGAGTTTTATGAAAACTACTTTCTTGTCACATAATTTGTTAGAGAATGCCACACCCATGATCATGTAACATTACAATTGTGAAACAACATTACTACATTCGAGAATTAACATCACCCAATAAAAGGCACATCTTCAAATATTGAATCAAAATCTGAAAATCAAAACAGTAGAGAGCATACATTAAAAATCAAGCACTTAATTTGTAAACTTTGAAAAAAGAATAGTCTGCTCCTGTTCCTTCACAGGTTTGTGAGCTTTTCTAAGTGGTCAGAAAATACAGAAGAGCAAAATGGAAGACACAATTTGGACTTACAATCTTTCTTTCCTGTGTTTTTTCAACATAAAAGTTGATGCATATCTGTTACAGAAATGCACTCAGACATAACAGACATTACAACCTGACTCTTTCCCAAGTTCTGAAACTTTAATCTAACATAATGGCTCTTTTCTGTGCAAATAGCTGCACCCTGTAATTGAGTACAGTACTTTCAGTCACCAGAAATCTTGACTGCAATTATAGATTCCAGAGTATGAATATTGAAAAAAGGTTATCCAAGAAAAATCATGGAGGGGGAAACACATAAGTGATAGCAATAAAAAAATGTTTCAAACCTACTTATCAAGTGGAATATCATACTCCCTCTAAAGTAACGGTGGGATAGGAAAGGCTTTTTTCTGTGGCCAATGTATAGAAATCTACATGGAGAGTTAGGGTGCTATACACCCTCTAAAATTAAATCCTTGCACTTTCAAAGTTTAAAACTTAATTCAGAATGAGTAAACTTTAAGAACTGGGTCAAATGGTCCCACAAAGGAAGGCTAAAAATGATCACTCATAATGCTCAAGCTTAAAGAATGAAGACATCATGGACAAAATACATAAAATCTGGACCTGTTGAAAAGGAAGAGGTCTTTGTAGAACAGCCTCTCCAGCACCCCATCCCTCATGGCTTAACAGCTGAAGACAGCCAGGTTCACTGTGGAATTGTCCCCAAACTGAATTCTGACTGCTTCCAACCTTCAGGTCTCTAGCATCCCACTTCATTCTCTGTTGCTGCCTGTCCTTGAGACATGGCTTCCTTCCAGCCAGACCCTGGGTCAGCCTGGATGCACTCTAGGCTCATGACCAAGTCTGAAGGTCTGCCTTTAAGAAGGGTAGAACTTAAAGTTTCACAGCTCAGTACAACACCAACAACAGGAAAAACATACCTCGTCACAGTGCATAGTTAGAAATAAAAGTGCAATACGGACAAAAGAGAAGGTGGTACTCTCAATACACTAAATATTTAGTTTTTGGTTTTTTGGTCATTAACATTTTCTAAGGAATTGAAGCTAAAAATGCAATGTTATTAACAGCAAGAGGTACAGGGGCACCTTAGGGTCCCCAAATATCTTTTATAATGGGGGGAATAAAGCAGAGGGGGCCACAACATATGTCACTTGTTGATTTTTAAACTATTACTCTTTCAAATCTAATATTTGAATAACCATCTTTCTTTAATAAAAGGAATTAAAAAAAACAAAGACAAAAATAAAACAATCAACATAATATTAAGGGCCCTCATCTACTTCATACTAAGGTCAATGTGACAGGAAGCCTGAAAGGAAAAATAGAAAAGAATATTTCTTGTTCTGGCAAAATTTGTATTTTAACTTAGAAAAATTTTATTACCTAATCATATAAATTAAGAATGCTTAGCATCCAATCCACAAATAACGCTGAATACAATATAATTCTATTTTGTATGTCAAAGTCACAAGGATGACATCCATGTAATTATAAAGCCTACTCTTTCCTGGGTTTTCAATTCAAACATAGACTGGGACAGGTCACTTTATTGCTGGCAGCATTCACAGAAGGGCTGGGCCCTTCATAAGGACAAGTCTGACTGGGATCTGGGTAGTACCCTACTCACACATCAATCTTTTTCTCCTTTTAAAGTAGCAAAGGAACAATAAAAGACCAATAGACTGGTGAGTGACCCCACATTATCGTGCATAGCTCATCAGGATCAAAGCCAGCACCTGTGAATGTTAACTTCATCAGGGCACACGGCAAGCATCGTATCATCTGTATTACAGATTCCACCTGGACTATTTGAAAACATGGTATACTCAAATGATAGCCTGCAAATGACAGTATGCTTTCCTTCATTCCTTCCTCTTGAGTGCTCATGTGTAAATCTAAACTGATAAGGGGCTTGTTCAGTCTGAAGGCAGGAAATCCTTGCAGCAGTACCCAAAATTCACAAATTCAGCAGCAGCTAATGGCGCTTCAGCTTCTTGGCCTTTCGACGTTTCATTTCTTCCTCTTCACGTCTCATTTCTTCTAAGTCTTCTTGCATACCTAGTCTTAAACTATGGAGAAATTGTTTTAAAGGATATTTGTTAATGTACACGAAATTACAACTTTAAAAAGCAAGACTGGCATCTTTCATGTAGATTATTATGCTGATGAATGAGTTTGCTTGTGTAACGGATACACATCCATACACACATACACACACACTTTAAAGATTTTACAACAGGAATGACAAAACCCCCTTAATATCCACATTTAAAGTAATAAAATATAAATTTATCTCAAATTAAAAAAAAAGATTGTGAAGCCCTGCAAAGTGGCGTACACCTTTAATCCCAGCACTTGGGAGGCAAATCTTTGAGTTCTAGGCTAGACTAGTCTACATACTGAGTTCCAGGACAGCCAGGACTACATAAAGAGGCCTTGTTTTTTGTTTTTTAATTTAAAAAAGGTGTAGGTATGTGCATGTGAGTACAGGTGCCTGTCTAGGCCAGAAGAGGGCAGATGCTATAATGGTGGAGTCACAGGCAGTTCTCGGCCACCTGATGTGGGTGTTGGAACTGAACTCAGGTTCTCTATAAGAGCAGTTCTCGCTGGGCGGTGGTGGCGCATGCCTTTAATCCCAGCACTCGGGAGGCAGAGCCAGGCGGATCTCTGTGAGTTGAGGCCAGCCTGGGCTACCAAGTGAGTTCCAGGAAAGGCGCAAAGCTACACAGAGAAACCCTGTCTCGAAAAACCAAAAAAAAAAAAAAAAAAAAAAAAAAAAAGCAGTTCTCCTTAACCACTGAGTTATCTTTCCATCCTTTTTAAAAACATTTAAAAATAAAGAAAACTCATACTCTGAGTTTGATCCTTGGCACCCATATAAAGGTAGAAGAGAACTGACCTACCTACACATGCACGCGCACGTGCCAAAAACCCAGGAAACATTTATTCATTAGTAATAATCCATATCCTTCTTTCTTAATACTTATTTTGACATTTTAAATAGTTATAGGAGGAGGGAGGGTCAAAAGAAAGAAAGCTGTTTTGTGTTGGGACTGAGGTGAATTATTTCTCTATAATAGGAAAATTATTAATACTATAAGCAAAGTAATTTATTACCCCTACCTAAGAAACTCTCAGGGGTTCATGACTGGGCAGCTAAAGAAGGAGGTGGAGCCGGGCGGTGGTGGCGCACGCCTTTAATCCCAGCACTCGGGAGGCAGAGCCAGGCGGATCTCTGTGAGTTCGAGGCCAGCCTGGTCTACAGAGCGAGATCCAGGAAAGGCGCAAAGCTACACGGAGAAACCCTGTCTCGAAAAACCAAAAAAAAAAAAAAAGAAGGAGGTGGAGAGAATCTAATTTACTCCCACTAGGTCCCTGAGGCAGCAAAATTACAGGTTCCAAGACTGAGACAAGTCTGATGGGCAAAGAAAAACAAACAGCCCATGGCAGACTCAGAGGCCTCTAATTTTACTGTACATTACATACGAGAAACTGCAGCCTTGGCTACATATTGTCTTAATCCCTACGATGCATCAATGAGTAAAGTAGTATATTCTCATTTTACACATGGGAAAACCTTAGAAAGGCAAAAGAATTTGTCTAAGGCTT